GTTTGTGCAACTATTTTCCATGCGCATGGGCACAAAAAGGCAACAACTACTGCTGCTGCTGCTGCCAACTATGAGCCAAGGGAAGTCCCCAGTCTCCGCCGCAGACCCCCGATCTCCTGCCCCCGAAAGCACCCCCTTTTCCACAACCCTTAGCCCAGAATGTGGCCAGTGGCAGGCAGCCAACCAGAGCGTAGAGCAAACTGGAGCATTGCAACTATTTATTTGTTGTTCGCCTCCCCGAAGGCAGGAGGCAGGGATTTTTTCTATTACGCGCTCGTTTATTACGGGAATTCCAGCTCACGCCTAAGTGCATGCAGTTTTCTTCTGCCAGGGATTCCCTTTAATCAGTCATAGCCATCCTGCGGTCAGAGGAATCTTGAACCCTTTAAATTCGCAGAAATTAAACGATTCCTTGCCCCCTTTGCCCCCGATTGATGGCCAACTGTCAATTGCTAAGCTCCTCAGTCAGAGCCTGAATCACAATCAAAGTCGCAATCGGAGTCGGAGTCGGTCTTTTGGCCGGAAAGTTGCCGAGAAAGGCGAACGGAGAAAGCCCCGGGAAGAACTGCAAGAACCGGAGACAGAGCCAGAGAAAGAGAGGAAAAAATAGCGGAGAAAGCGAAACTTTTTAATGATGTAAAGTACAAAGTTTTCTGTCTTGTCGCTGGCGCAAGTAACTTGAGTAAACTTTGAGTTATGCCCTCACAGCCTTAGATGCGAAATCCGAGGAGGCAGCGGCGGCGGCGACGACGACCTCAAAGCGCAGGACGACATCCTTTTGCACCCACAGGCAGGACATCGATCGATGTGGGGAGGGAAGAGGGGGCATTGCGGCTGGTATTTGGTCGTTTGTTAAAAGTTTTCAACACTCATTTTTATTATGACATACGCGAGAAGTACGAGCCAAATTAGTGGCGAATATTGGGGAGGTGTGTATGCTGTGTGTGCCGGCAATGGTTGCGCTAATAAAATGCCAATTTGCTGCCATTGAATGGCTGCTTTATTGGCCGCCATTACAACTCGTACGCATAAAGGGCGATGCCACATCCTGAATTCAACCACCCACCCACACACATGCGTGCGAAAGGAGCCCTTCGAGGAGGCATTTTATGACGGCAACATTTACACGCATAAAATATGCATGATAAAACTTTGTTGTTGCAATAAATCAGCCACCCCCGAAAACGGTGCAACTCCTTGGCCGTCGTTGGCCTGATGTGATTACAAAACCATCCCGAGCGGAACCGGGCATCCTTTTATTTATGTCCTGCGTGATCCGAGTTCATCGCGATGCGGTCGTAATGAGTTCCTGGAGCAAATCAATTTCTACAGGCTCTCCACCACCGCTGTCAAACTACTTAAACTGCCATTAAACTATCGAGAGTGAAGGATGCGAAATATATACAAAAAACTTTTGCGGGTTCCTCAATCAGAAATATTATAAAGAAAAAAAGTGGAAGCCCCGCTTTTGTTAGAGGTGCAAATGCCTCACAAACAGACAGAGCAAGTCGCCTTCAACAACTTTTTTGGCCATTGTGTTTTGACTGCCTTTGTTGCATGCATAAAATATTTATGCTCTGGAAAATATGCAGCAACAAAAAACGGAGGGGTTTCCTTTTACTACCCCCCTTGAACTTTTCGCCATGTGCGTGCAACTTTTCACACTCAAATGAAATTACGAGAGAACAAAAAAACAGAAAAAAACGAGGAAAACTTTGCTACTTAAATGTAGCGCTCTCTCTCTGGCTGCTCTGTTCCCATTCTCTTTTTTATTGCTTTCTGCACTTTATCAACCATTTTGCCATGGCTCAGTGAACGCTCAATTGCCGGCTGACAGTGGGCGAGCGAGGGAGATAGCTGTAAACTTTTCATTAATAACGATTTTCCATTAACTATCGATTGATTTCGAGTCCCCAGGACAGCGGCAGCATCCCAGCAGCCAACAGTCGGCAGCAACAACAAACGCACTTCAGACAATGCCTGCAACCGGCAGCAGCAACCAACAACACTTGAGTCTATTTAAAACGCAAACAACAATAAACCGCCAAGGGGGTGGGCAGCGGGGGGTTTATTCAAAGGGGACTCTTGGGGGCTGGGGGACAGGCTCATAACCGAAGAGGACGAAGCCGCCGACGCCGACAGGAAAAACTCATTGAAAAGTTTTCCTTTTTTACACTTGGCGCGCTCTCCCGTTTTGCAGGACGAGGAAGGACCTCCTCCGTTCCCCGCGATCCACACACCTAAGCGGTGTATCGAAGGAGGAAGTTTTTAATTTTTTATCACGCCACCCAGCCAACTCGGTCCGATATGCAACGAACCTGGTTACGCTTGTTTAGGGTCGAGGGGTATTCGAGATTTCTCTGGGATAGTTTACAAGTTTTTTTGTCTAACGATGGCTTTGATTAACTAAATCGAATTTATCATTCCTTTTAAATATCGAAATAATATGAGTGGGCTTCGAACCTAGGCCTTTTTGAAAGAAAACAAAGTTTTTATTTTTATAAAGTGTTCTAAAAATTACTCGCTTCAATAAAATAATAATGCTTATGATTTTGGTGAATAAAAATAGCTTTACAAAATCTTTAACTCTTCCAAAAAAATTTGGTAAAAGCATGTTTTAAGTTTTAGACAATATCTCTTTATTCTGGGCTAATAGCCAAATGCTAGACCATCAAGTTTTAAAACCTTTCCACTTGGCCCAGTTCGACCTTTATTTATATCCCTCATCTGCTATCGCTGATGATATAAGGAACTTGATGTTAAAAGTTTATTCTATTTTGAGAACCCCCAAGAGTATGATCAGTTCGACTTGGCAGGTGTATGTCTTCGCTCACTACTCCATCAACTTCTTGTGCAGTTCCTCCAGGTTCCTCATCCTTCGTCCTTGTTGCTACACGCGTTACGTTCACGCCGGTTCCTGTGGTTGCCGCCTCGTCCTTTGTTTGCTCCTGCGACTATTATGGGTAATGCCTTTTGTGTAGGTCGTCGGCATTGCGTTTTCTGCCCTTATTTTCCTCCTTCTTTTTTTCCTGTAGGTATATTTCTTTTTTCGGTTTTGTTTTGCTTCTACGATTTTTATATAGCGCGCGCTCTCGCCCAATATATATAAATTATTGCATAAAGTTTGGCGCTAAGTTGCAAAAAGTTTCCTTTCATTGCTGCCGCTGCTGCGGCGGCCGCGTGAACGACACACAATAGTCTATAAATCTTTATGGTCAACAGAGATTACATGGGCATGGGCCCAGACGCGGCGAAGAAAGCGAAGCCTTCCATGAAGTTTACTGCCCGGGACCTCAACCCTCAACCCTCTGGCCTTAGCAGCTTTTTAGGCGCTGTGTGCGTTGTTTTGATTTGTGTGCCCGTGTGCTCCGATTGCCATTCCAGCTGTAGTGGCCAGTTGTTGTGGTTTTTGCCGATTGTTGTTCCATTGTTGTTGCCGCTGCGGCGGCCATCGAGGGCAGAGTTGAGCATATGGCCATAAAAATGCGGTGCAGACGTGCTAGATGCTAGATAAATCATGCCAAAGCCCCAAAAAGTATGCAATGCTGCCGGCGCATGAATAGGAAATAGGAAATTCTTGTAAAAATCAGCCAGGGCAATCCGAAAAAAACCGCCCCCTATACCTTTTTCCCCTTGACACACCTTTAATTGCTTAAATTGTTCTCGTGCCGCGCAGGCTTCGTGAAACACGAGCGGCAATTCGATTTCTCGTGGCCCCATAAACAACTTTTCAAAAGTATAAAATAAAAAGGGAACAAGCCCTGTATAGGTTTACCGTTAGGATCATTTTACATAAAAATGCAATAAATAGCTACACAGAAATTTATGGTTGCCGTGGTCGTGGGGAAAAGGATGTAGGGAAAGGGAGGGCAGGGCAAGGATGGAGACTGAGACTCACTGGACTTGGACTCACTCGTAAATGTCAAATGCCGTGTGCTGTGGGGCCGAGGGCGCCTCAAAGTATGCTTATAAATTGCTCTAAATAGCAATTTCGGCTGCTCCACCTCGAGAGCTTCTGCTTCAGCCGCCGCCCGGTGTCGTGTCATTTGTTCGTTTTCTTTATTAGTGTCATGTATTTTTATAGTTCAAAGGACATTTGAATGATTGAATGAACTGTTTGCCCCAAACCCAACCACCCACTTCCACTACATTCCCTTTTCCCTGTTTTTTTTTGCTGGCTTGCTTGACCGAAAACGAGTTGCGCGCATGATTTCATCCCTTGCAGCCAAAGGACTCGCTCTACGTGCGGTCAGCTCCCGCTCCTGCTCCTGGTCGATGTCCTGGTCAGCAGAGGCGGCGGTCCCAGGCACGTTTCATCATGGCCAGCTTGTTGTTGGTCTGGCGACTATATCAAATAACGACTATTGACTACGCCTGTGTGGCGCTCCGTGATGTCGTGCCCCGTGTAGGGTTACAAACCACCCAAACCCACTCCAAAACCCACACCCATCTCCAAACCAATCCATCCATCCCAGCCCAGCAGTGACCCTGTGTTGCTGATGATGATGTTGTTGTCGCCAAGCGTCGCCATCGCCATCGCCATCGTCGTTTGGCGATGACGAATGAAAATCAATATTTATTAGATTACTTTCGAAATTTTATACGAAAATAGAATTTTTATGACATTTTTTTTCCTCTGGTTTCGCCCTGGGCCAACTTTGCCATGTGCCTGGCCTGGGCGTGTTAAAGTGTTTGCAATAATCAATTTTTCGGGGGGAAACTTGAGCTTGAGATTCGTGACCGGGGCTTTAAAAGGGGTTTTTCGAGTATTCCACAGGACGATATATATTTTAATGCCTGCGCTTCTCTACTTCTCTTATCGCCCATCATATCTAATTACAGTTTTCGTTTTCATTCCCGTAATTCTCGTTCCTTTCCACCCCGCCAGCAGCACTCATAATGACTTAATTATACTTTAGCCAATTTTCCTTTTCCCACTACTCTCTGCCATATCACTTAATATTAAACATTTCCGTGTTCTCCCTTGTCTGTCTTTGCAGGTAAGTTGCCATCATCCATTAATACCACCAGCCATCAAATTAGTAAGTACACAAAACGAGCTGCTAACACTTTTTATGTGCGTCTTTAACTGTATTCACCTCTCTGTCTGTCCTGTATATCCTGTATATCCCTTTGCCATTCCTTTTCCTCCACCAGGACCAATATATATACGTGTATGTGTGTACACGAATATAAAGCAAATGCATTTTAGTGCCCTCAGTTGACCTCGTTTGGGGCTTGTTTTTATGGCGAAGCCCAAGCGATGATGCTACTCACGTGGCTCAAAACTAAAAGCTCCCCCGAGTGTCTACTATCTCTGCCTCCCTCAGTCTTGAGCTAGTTTCGGGAGGGGTGGGGTGGGGGTGGTACTCCCATCCCCCCGGGAGTCACTTAATTATGAAGCTGCACATGAAGTAAAACGTCATAAAGCGTCGAGTTGAGTTGCGCCGAGCGGAGGCCATATACGGTTGACTTGGGTAGCAGTAGCAGTAGCATCATCATCAGTCCCCGTCTGTCTGCCAGTGCCTCTTACACATTCTTTTTTTCCGGTGGAGGTGGAGGGGCGGGCTTGGCAGCATTCTGCAGTTAATTTTCCGTTGCTAAATAAACTGTTTATGGCATTTATGCCAAAAATTTTTGGCCAAAGAGGATGGGAAATCCCTGGATGAAGGATGACGATGAACCGTCTGAGTATGCGAGTGTGTGCGTGTGAGCTGAGCAATTTCTGCATAACCAACACAGAGGAGCGTATCCTGTGTTCGCCCGGAATTGCCTTTTAATTGTGATTTTCGGACCAAATTTAAGCCTGCTAAAGGATTTTTTCCTCTGTGTGAATTAGAGAAATTGTTGCTTGATTGAAATGGAATATGGCAATAATTGGCTTGCTTTATCGCTTAGATCTGAAGAATTCGAGGAGGCTAGCGTTTATTTTCTCTTCTTATTGCAAAATGACTTGTGTGTGTTCACTGACCCCTCACTCACACAAGAGAGAGAATATTTACATTTTATGCGGCCACACCCACGCACACACTCGCCTTTATCCACTGACAATTTGGCAGTCACCGCAATCATAAAAATTTCCACTTCCAAGGAGAGGAGTGAAACAGGCCCGTCAGTCAGTCGCCTCTGCGCCTCATTTAAATGCAAATTTTTGACGAGCGGTTTTAACGTTCTTCTTCTCCGCTGGCGGTGAATGAAAACATTAAAATTAAAAAATAAAAAATGTAGTCTGCTTTTAGGCGGAACTCTCGCCGGCTTGTGTATGTATGTGTTTGCGGGGGTGCCATTGCACTATGGGGCATTTGACCACTTTTGTTGGCCGAAATTAATAACTCGGTCATTTCAAAAGATATTGACTTGAAACTTTACCAGTCGCCATTTCTTATCCCCCCGCATATTATATATGATAATCATCCGGATCGGAAAACTATATCATATAGCTGCCATAGAAACGATCAAATTAACTTTGCTGTTTTTGGAGATAAATGCACATAACTTAAGAAATAGCAATTATGTAAGTTTTTAAAACAATATTAACAGTTTTGTACAAATCGGACGACTATATCCTAAAGTTCTCAAAAAAAAGGGGCAAAGGAAAGAATTTACTTTACATTTGTACGACTTTTTGTTCAAGTTGTAGCGGAACTTTCGTTTTAAAGCCGCTAAAGTCCACTTAAGTTAGTCAATTACAAAGCTAAGTATTTCTACTATATTTTGATAATAATTTAAAGTCACGAAAGTCCTTACTTCCTTAGCCACCAGTGCAAACGATAGGAGTTTGTGAAATTTGAGGTTATGGTCTAAAAAATTAAATTACAGAAAAAGTGGCAATAAGTGGCGATTCTGACCATATACATTTTAACAACAATTAAATAATCTACAAATCCCAATTGGTTCCAGAAGTGGACTCCGCTGGACTCACTTTGTTGCTCCATTTGGAAATTAGTTTTCTTACAAAAATGTGTTTGTTAGACCACTCCCTTTAACACTCATTTGTAAGAAAAAACCGTCTCATTTTTGTCGTCGAACCACACAAATACTTAGTAAATAGCATAATCCTTTAAATCCAATCCAAAAAGTTTACTTAGATTGCTTAAAAACTCAAATTTAAAGCACTTTAAAACTGCAAGCAAAAAGTCGAAATACAACAGCTCGATAATTGCATATCAAACAGCTGATTTAACATCTCCTACCTTAACAGAGGCGACCTCTATCGGATTTCTGTAAACGTAACATTGTTAAATGGTCTTTTGTTAACACATCCTCAAACAACATTTTTTGTTTTAACGACTTTTAAAAAATGGGTTTTGGCCAACCAAAGTGGTCAAATGCCCCATAGTGCATTGCTCGTGAGAATAATTCAAGGTGATAGCTTAATTGAAATATGCTTTTAGGCGCTTTTCTCCCTCCCCCTCCCCGCTCTTTTCCCACCATTTTGCATACTCTACTTTGTTGTGAGTGTGTGTGTGTGTCTGGGTGCATATTTTATGGAGCTGCGGTCGACCACAGAGACCCACAAAAAAAAAGGAAACGGAAGAAAAGCAGCGAGAACGGAAGGGAATCCGAATCGAAATAAAAACTGAAGTGAGGCTGCTTAATGTTATGCAAAGTGTTTGAGCCTGCGGCGTGCGTAAACCAATGGAAAAGCCGGGAAAATCGGGCGTTAGGTTGGCTTGCAGCGTGGTGGAAATAACTCCCCACCATCACCTTTAATTGCTAGCCATTTCAATTCTCATTACAACTTCAATTGACTTTTGCCGGAAGTTAAAAGCGAGGTGAATAAGGAGTTTTTATAATACCAAAAGGTAGCAAAGGGTATTCGAGGATATGCAAAGAAATACCCTTTGTGCGAGTTATCATATCGTAATCCCTCTCGGATCTGCCATAAACATTCATATGCATAAATTTGACATTTGGCTGCTCCATAAAAATACTCCCGGCCGCAGGGCCTTTTGCCAGGCCGAAGTCGCCTCCCTGGAGCCGGGAGTCTGGGATCTGGGATCTCGGATCTGGGAAAATTTATGCACATAACATCCACTTGACTCCTTCCGACAGACAGTCAGACAGTCAGTTGCCTCCCCCAAGTGCAACACTCAACTGGAATCGTCGCAAATGAAAAGCGACAGCCAGCGAAGATGTTCGCGAAACGAGAGAAATCTGGTTTGCAATTTACAAATTGCGCAAAGGCGGAAGAAAAACAAAAAAAGATGGAAACAAAAGGGAATGCCTTATATTTTATGCAATATGCCACACCGCGTTTTATTAAGCAAATTACGATGAACGAGATGGCAGTGGAGATGTGGCAATGGGGTGGGGAATCTCGGCAAGTCCTACTTATGACCTTGGCAAACAGCCTAACGCCTCCTGTGCTGAGCCATTTGGCAAACAAACTCAAACAGACTCAAGTCTGCCTCGCATTTTGCTGCTCTTAACGCACATTTTCATATATAAATTATTAATTTCGCATGCCTGCCATTCCAACCCCCCAAAGAATGGGCCGCAGGACGAAGGAAACCGCACGCCTAAGCAGTCGAAGGATCAGAAAAGCGGCAGGAAAGCAAATAAGCAAGAGAGTAAAATGCATTTTGTGCTCCATTAAATAATAAAAGCAAACGTGGCAAAGATAGCGTCTGTCTCGGAGTCTCGGGGTCCCGAGTCCTCTGTGTGTGTACACAATAAAAATCTCACACGAAGCGCATAAAAATAAAGCAAGAGATACCCCAAAGAGGCATTCGCCATCCCCGTCTAATGGCGGCGAGTCAAAGCCCCCATTGTGATTTTTAAGTTGCTAACCTTTATCGGGAGACCGGGGGAGTTCGAGTGTGTTTGCCGTGCGGTGTGGAGAAAGTGCATAAATAAGTAAACAAATGCCTGTCGCTTAAGATTACATGGCAAATAAGCTGGCTGCAGAGCAGGACAACATTTGAATGTGGAGGCCAAAGGGAAAACCTCGCCGCTTACTTACTTATTCATAGCCAGACCTGGGCGGAAAGTGTGTGTCTTGAGGGGGCATAAAAATCAGCATAAACAGCAATTGTTATGGGCTGCGAATGAAGCCCACAGAGCTCAGTGCTCAGAGCCCACATCTGTTTTTAGTGAATTGAGGTAATTTCGAGGCGCCCTAAGCACGCAAATCAATGCCGGCGACTGGGTAAAGGGTTCCAATTGCAGCATAATGAATTTAGAAACTCCAAAAAAACAACTACAGATTGAAATTCATCCCGCCAGAAACAACACACACAAAAAAAACTTTATATGAAACTATGATCAATTTTGATTTGATATTCGGAATCTCTATTTGATATGCTTGAAACGTAAAAAACGCCAGTTAGAATTTCGAGTGTATCTTTTTCCCTCACACTCATGTATTTTTAAGGGCTATATCGCTTTGTTTCGAATTTAGAAAAGTTGATCTTCTCGCTCCCACTTATGTAATTTACGTCGTCATATGGCTTCTTACTTTCTTTTCGAAATCAGAGAATTTCCAAGAAAGAGATTTTGGCAAAATTATATTATTTAATACCAATTTGACCTGTATTGCATGGTAAAAACAATATAATCCCGTCGTCTTTTTTTTCTGTGTGCAAAGATATTTTTACATTTTAATTTAGTTATGAGTACAAAACAATTTCTGACTGCAATCACTTGAAAACGACAGGGGTTGAGCTGCGAAATGCTGGAAATGGTTTCAAAAACACCGGGCTGGCAGCCCGTTTGACACGCACGTGTCCTTGCCAATGACAAGGGAAATTTTACAACTTTCAAGTTTAATTTGCCAAAAGTATAGCTATAGCAATCAACCAAGAGCCAGGACCCAGAGAGGGCGGGAAAATGGGGTGGATGGCTTAGAGAGAGGAGCAACCCTTTCGAGCTAATTGCTTGGAAGTTGTTAAATGTAAAAATTAAAATGTATAAAATGTGTATATTTTATATTAAACAGAGGAAGAGCTCTGCAACTGTCAGTCACTCACTTTCGCCCCCTTCGTTCGTTCATTCAGTCATTCAGCCATCCAGTCATTCATTTATTCAGGCAGAACGTAGC